TGTGATAGACTGGTGACCTGTCCAGGGTGTCCCCTGCCTTCACCTTGAGTCAGCTGGGATAGGCTCCAGCTCCCCCACAACCCAAGTGAGGACTAAGCGGTGTATAGATAATGGATGGATGGATGTTTTATAGGATATGAAACCATGTCAAGTCAATACTTAATAATAGGACATGCCGATGATTTTCAGTTACCCAGTCTGGTCACCCTTACAAAACATTCTGCTGGTACCTTTGCTGCAAAAGTAGAGGAAAAGCAGCCAACAAGTGCTCAGTATATGTGGGAATACAGTGCATAGGTGTTATTAAAGCAAATAATGGCTGCTTTGAGAAACCTAAACTTTGAAATATATTCAGAGTTGTTGACACACTTTTTTCTTTTACATAATTCCATTGTCTTATTTCATAATTTTGGTGTCTTCAGTAATGTTATACACATAGATAACATTAAAACAGCAGGTGTATCAAAACTTTTGACTGATATCATATTTATATGCATTTTAACCCATGAGTCCATACAATACATTTGCCAGTGATAGATGACTAAATAGACACATATACATGGTAAATTTTTGAAGAATTTCAGATGATGTTGAAGATAGCTGCTATATATGTGTTTCTAAGGTGATTTGTTGTTGTTGTTGTTGTTAAATGTAGCCCTCAGCGCTCGCCACAGCTCCATCATTCCAGAGCTGTGTTGCCAAGCAATGGCGAGGCCAGCAGCAGACATGCTCGGTACAACACTGATGCTGTGGATAGGAGAAGAGGAGGAGTGGGAGGAGGGAGGAGTGTGGACATATCTGCTGCTTTCAATAGCCAGCACAGAGATTTTACAGCTGACATGATCACTTACCGCACTCACAGCATTCAAAGCAAAGAGATAAAAAATCTTTCTGAGCAAACAGCTACAGCTTGCACTGTAAAGGAGACCAGAGGAAGAACAATGAACTCACAACAGCCCGATTCTGACGGACCAGACCAGGATAACATCAACATCAGGTCAGACCAAATTACATTTGAATTGGAGAGCAGTGAAGCATAAATATAAAAGCTTAAACTGTGGGGTATTCCAAAACATTAATGGTAGATATAAAGCACAAAACAGACAAATAAACATGAGGAATAGCATCAGTGTGTCGGATTGTTGTGCAAAATAAAATCACAAATACCCTGTGGACTGTGAGTACGTGATGGAAACATCAGAATGATTGAGTGACCACAGAGTGAATGTGAAGAGCTTCAAACGGATGATTTTATATTTTCATTGAATAATTCAAAGAGTAATCCCAGTCCTTGAGTTCACTCTGCTGGATTTTATACAGACAATTGTAGAGAATTAATCATTATTTTTCTGTATTCATATGCATTTTGGCATTTTAAATAGTGTAATGAACAATGCATAATAAAGTGTAATATATAAAAATATCTACACTTCTGTGTCTGTCCAAACATGTATGTCCTTGTTTTCTTTCCAGGTTGCTGAGCAATGGAGAACGCTCCCAGACAATCGGCCACAGCCTGAAAATCGTCAAAAACATTGGTGAGCTTGTCGAAGTGTGAGAATAGAGCATAATATTCCACCCACTTGAACCACCTCCAGAGCTGTTGCAAGAAAATCATGTTTTTTTTCTGAATATATTATGACTAAGACTGAGCATTGGTAAGATGCAGACAGTCCCATATGTAACACATGCAAACAGATTTCTGAAAAGCAGTTTATTAACCCAACAATACGCTTGATAAGGCTTCAGTACAGCCATATCTGCGACTGCAGGTCTGACATGTTCATCATGATTGCTGACTATGTTGACAGACTATTCAATATAATGTAATTTGGTCGATGGTACCTTAGCTGCAGGAAAACAATTCAATAGCTTAACAAAAGAGCAGGAATACTTAGGGCTGATGAAGAAGTGCAACAATATTTTCCATCATTTACAGATATTTGTACTTCTCTCTCTCCAACCTGTGCATTTTTGCTGTGTGCCTTTCATGCTCTCTTATGTAATTCTCAGACCAGTTCTACGCCCACCAAAGCAATCTGCAGTATATGACTGAGGAAGATTATGCAACAGGCCCCTGTTGTTCAAAGTCACCTTCTGTATCAGCAAACTTTCATCCCACCTGAAACTTAGTAAAAGACACAATATCTGTGTGGTTCTCCCACCTCCACACTGACTGCATCATGGCAGAGAGTTGAAGTCCAATCCACTTCTGGCCGAGAATCTATTCCACTGGTCTAGCTGGCTTTTTCCCCACACACACTATGGTGAAGAAATCCCATTGCAGATATGTTTAATACTGACATTCTTTTACCTCAAATACAGTACTGACAACATTATTGACTAATGCAGCCTGCCCCTTTTGACTTTTGTTCCATTTCCGGTGTGTTTTTTAGATTCTGGTTGCTACCATTGGCTAATAAATACATGTAAAAGTCGTGACTGGTTTGAACAGCCTGGGAATATAATGGAACAGTTTTAGGAGCTTGTATGACCTACCACACCCACTAAAGATACTAGATTTAAGAATATTTTTGAAGTGAAGTGACCAATTATCATGTATTTACATTGACCTGAATTTATCACTTAACCAGATGAGATTTGTTTTTTATGTCTGGAAGCTGATGTAAGTAAATAATATATATAATACAATTTAAACTCAACTTTGTAAAATATATGATATAATGCAATTATCAATTTGGCAAACAAAAATAAGGCCAGGCCATAGAAAACTGATCTGTGTGTAATAGTGTAATATGCCCAGTGACGTCTCTGCATTTGGGGCCAGTGGGGCTTGGCCCCACCAAATGTCACTGTGGAGCTCTATGCTGGCATAAAATAATAAAGTGGAAAAAAATCAGTCTGTACAGAGTAAGAATCTATAAAGAATATCTTATCAAGAATAATAATACTCTAAAAAGATCAATTATGTTACCAAGATGATTTTGTTACAAACATTTATGCATAATCCAAAGGCTTTGCCCATAGAATGCTGACAAGCAGCCTAATTCCTCTTGACGCACCTGAGAATGGGGCTGGCCCATCAGCGTTCGCTTAAGGGATGAGCTGCTGAAATCATGGTGTGCATGTCCAAAACTGCTCTCCGTCGACAGCCACCGGGCACAGTTATTGTGGCCGTAAGCCGAAGTAATCCAATTAAAATATTGGAATGACATACGCCAAGACGTAATAAACGTGTACAGTTTTGGTAGTATGCAGCAAGCTAGGCTGGCTATTATTGTGAGCGAACAAGACAAAAAAAAAAAATGAATGAAGTAGATTCTTTGATAACAGCTAAATTTAGCACTTTGCCACAACAACACTGGTGAGTGACATTTTTTAGTGACCCTTTATTTTTAATGCTATGTATAAAAATAGGTTGTATTCTTGAATTACGTTGATATGAAACTGCATTTAGTGTGTAGGTTTAGCCATTTTATGTGGCTCATTTAATACAGATCAATCTCAGGTTGTACTTTATGTATCTCAGAAGAATCAGATGCTGTTTATAGCTGTAGAGTATGTTGGGCCCCACTCAACTTTTCATGCCAGAGATGCCACTGAATAGGCCAGATGACTCTCCACAGTGACGGTGTAGTTAATTATTGCACAATTTAAAGTGACCTTTGAACTTCTGTTATGATGATAATAAACGTATACCAATACATGTCACAATGATTTTTATACCAGTAGGGTGACCAGCTAATCTTAGAACTGAACTGTGTAGATTAGCACCAGCATTTAGCGGTAGATATTTGTCAGACTATTCCTTTTAGCTCTATCAGTCCTTCAGAATGTACATTTGGATCCAAGGCAAAGTAGCAAATGTCAATTTACACAATGCAACATTCAAAAGTTAAGACAAATTAAAGACTTGATTATACAAGGTCAACTAGTAGAACAGAAGTGAGCCCTCTCTAAATTTGCTCATAAAAAGTGAAGATGTCACTCGCCCTGTTTACATACAAAGCGTTACAGGCAGATTTTTTTGTGATCCATGTCATGTTCCTCTATCAGAATAGATGTACTCCTTTACTCATGCTATATGCAACCCCAAGTATACTTTTGCATTTCAGGTTGTACCCACAGTGTGCTTTGGGCACAGAAAGCCTCAAAGATGAAAGTGACCTAAAACTAAAGATAGACATGAACATCTGAAGTTGTTGTCTTTTGACCCTCCAGGTTTCCTGTACCAGGAATACAGGGACACTTCTAAGCAGCAGGAAATTGAACAACGACGGCAGCAAGAGAACCTTTCTCCTGGGATCAAGACAGGGTCTGTGGTGGCAGGGTCTGGTGTAATATCTCCACCTGTGCTACAACTACAACTGAGGAACAGTGCTCAGTCACTGAGCTTGTGGCAAAACCTGGAAGCTGTGCAGGCAAGCGGCTTACTCACCCAGCTACCGCATAAAGAAATCATAATGCAAGAGGTGAGTGATTTTGTGATGCTGAAGGGTTATTTGGATAGATACAGATGTTAGTTGTACAATATACACTGATCACCTGCAACATTAAAACCACTTACAAGCGAAGTGAATAACTGATAATCTTGCTACAATGCTGGGAAGCCTTGAGTGCTGGCATTCATGTGGATGATACCTATCACCCACCTTAACATTGTTTTAGGTGGCAATCACATCCTATGGGATGCCTCTGAACAAGCCTCGTCCAGATATCCCTGGACCACTAGACCCAAATGATCAATCATCATGTCCTGGTGCTAGAAGGCACTGGACACCCCCAGAGGTCATATGTCCATGTCTTGACAAGTCAGTTTTCTTTTACAGAACCAGAGAGAAATGTGCACAATATTATGGAGGTGTTTTTTTCTTCGTTGTTGTGGCTGATTGGTTTATAAATGTAGAGATGCGTGTGTTTGGTTATGGGTACATAATTTTACCTAAAACTACTGCAGTTCAGTAGAACAGTTCTGCAATAAATCTAAGAAACACATGGCTGCAGACAAGATGATGATCAATAATTTCATTGTGATGATAGGCAGAAGTTCTTGTTCTTTGTGCTTTTCACAAGACTGTGTATGTGTAAATGAGAGGATGAAGACAACATTACTGCTTTAACAAGCTGAAGAACAAGACATTATTGGTGATGGTGAATGTATACTCAGTGTCTGCTTTCTGCATGGCTGCAAGGACAGTGATATTTGAAACAGATAAAAATACTGGTTAAATATTTCAAAGAAATCAGAAAATTGCCACTCACTGTTGCTCTTTGTTAAGCCACAGTATCTAATGCTTTTTTATGAAAATATAGCTTAAATTAGCTGATGTAAATAAAGCTAAAATCAGAGCAGTTCTTTGTTAGCTACAACTAAGCTAGCTCCTGCTAGCTGTCCATTGTCACCCTTTACATTACTTCAAGATGCTCAAAACATGGACATTCTGTACGAATTATTTTACATAAGGGGCAATAATTTCACTTTTTTCCTGTCCTAAATAACAGGATTTTCTTGCAGGGAAATATTGGTTCTAGGTTTAATAGCAGCATGCTTTAGCAACATATGCTGATAAAATGAACTGCAATGACGGTGTTGAACAGCCAACCACCTGATACGGAGTTGTCATCCCATAAAATAGGCATATCAATACCATACATTTTTGCCAGCAGATACCTCCCCCATCTTCAAGCAGGATCAGTAGGCGTGCTAACATCCTTTTTGATCACTGATAAACACAAGTAATACTATCTGTTGGAACTCTTGCAGTCGTGTGAATAAGAGTAACATCTCCGGCAAAGTCTATTAATTTAAACCTTCTCAATACCTGCAGCCTTTAAATGTGGGATTTGTATGTGCAAAATTACAGCAATGCTGCCATTAAATAATATGATAAATCAACATTAAACAGGATGATAACAGCCTGCTGACTACTATTTTGTCAAATGTAAGTAGACTATCCTACTTAGCCATTTTCACCTCAGCTTGGCACTTTTAGGAGCCGTCCACAAGCTTCAGGCAAGCGTCTGTGTGTCTTTGACCCTTCCTCTTGACAGAATTGGTGAAGTTCAACTACTTTGTTAAACTGACGCAGACTTGTTACTTCAGCACAGTCTACAGGTTCTTGATGTGGTATCAGTCAGGACTTTAGGAAGGTCTGTTGACAACCTTAAGTCTTGCCTGATTTAACCATCTCTGTACCATCATGGATGCGTACAAGACCCAACCTTCTGACTGATTATTTTATGTTCGCTGAAGAAAAAAAAAATGTTATTTACTATTATTTACCACAATCTTCTTGAGCTAATGGAAATTTCTCAGATTCTAGCACCTGAATTAACTGTGGAACTTCAGTCCTTTCACATATGTGAACACACTTAGGTCATGTGATGACTGAACAAATGCCAACCCGGTTACAGAAAAACACAAGTCTGAGGATGGATACAATTTCTAAGTCCCTGGATAACTCCTTCAGAGGATTCATAGGTGTTTTGATGGCCTCCCTCTTTTGTCTGGCTTGCACAGTCACTAAGTTTTTGAGAATGACCTGTTCTTGCCAGATTTATGCATGTACCCCATTAATTCCATTTCTTTATGATAAAATAAATTGTACTCCAAAGGATAGGCAGTGACTTGGACATTTTCTTGACTCATCCCCTGACTAATGCTTTTCAATAGCATTTTCACTGAGTTGTTTGAAGTGCTCCTTTGTCTTCATGGTGTAGTTATAGCCAGGCGTACTGATTCACCATGACTATACCTTCCAGGTTGAAGTTTCTTTATGCTACAATCACTGAGAAACACTACACTACAAAAACAAATCACTGCTCTCAGATGAGCTCTATTTCAGTAACTCTGTGACTTTTAACACCTGTTAACTGCACATGTGTTGAACTAGGTGAGCCATTTTAAAGGGGGTGAATACTTATACAATGACTTGTTTTACATTTTATATTTTTAGATGAACTGACATTACTTTGTACAAATCAGTTTTCACTTTGAAATGAACTATTTTTTTTGTAAATTCTTAAAAAACAAACCCTGAAAATACAAATTAAATTGACCAGCCTTACTATGTTAAGTGCTGTGAGATGAAATGCTATAAACTGCGCTATATATATACATATATATGAATAAAATTGAATTGAAAATTGAATTAATGTTGACACGCAATAACAGGAGAAAACTTTTTAGAAGGGTAAATACTTTTTTTTAGGAACTGTATGTGCTTCACCCAGCTGTGCAGCAGAAGATCATGTAAATGTTATCATATAAAGTGGTGAATGTGTTGATGTGACCTTATTCTTTTTATTTCTTTTAAGGCCATGTTTGAGCTTGTTACCTCAGAAGCATCCTACTACAAGAGTTTGGAAATTTTAGAGACGCACTTCCTGCGTAACCCTGCTTTAATCAACACCCTCAGCCAATCTGACATGCATTTTCTGTTCTCCAACATCGAAGAAGTCATGAAAGCGAGTGAAAGGTAGGAAAGAGCATTGGTTACAGCAAATTAGTGTACAATTGAAGTTGGCATCTCAACTTTGAAGTTCCAGTTCAGCAGCTTCAGCTTCATATCCCTGGGTAATGGTTTCATATTTTTCAGGTTCTTGATGGATCTTGAGCACCGAATTGAGGAGTCTATTTTGATTTCAGAAGTGTGCGACATTGTTTCTCACCATGCAGTAGAACACTTCAGCGTCTTTATTACATACGTCATAAACCAGGTTTACCAAGAGAAGAATTACAGACGCATTCTGTGAGTACCTACTTCTTAAATACACATTATCATGTAGATGCTCTCTTACACTGGGAGTTAGTTTTGGAATATTGTGTGAGTTATTTCTCATTGATGAATGTGTAATCCAAAATATTTATCAAAACATAGATTATTTTATTGGGATTTTTTGAAACAGGACTGCATTTTAGCAGTGAACATTGTGGCCTGCTTGACTGTTTGTAATGAAGATGTAATTAGAGAGAGGGAAAGCGTGAGAAAGAATCCTAGAAAACTACAGTCAAACATCGCTCTTTGTTTATGTCTGTGAATGTTGCCAGCCTGCCTCTTTTCACTGGAGAACAGGTTGGTTTTGATCATGACAAAATATGATGTACAGGGTGTGGCTGACTAAGAATATAATGCCAATGTCCTTCATCAACCACACATACCTGAGTGACAAGATGACTTTCCCACACACTGCAGAGGTATCTCAGACACTAAATGGAAGGTCTGATAGCAGCTGGAAAAACCTCTGATCAGCTGGTTATTTACATGAAATACAAAGTGTGTTCTGGAAATTGCCTGTGTCGAGTTTATTAACTGACACTTTGGAGTTGTACCACTAAGACAGTCTAATAGGTGGTTTGTAGGCGTAGACTACATTATGCAGGTCTGTTCACACTCAGGGTGTTAGGAATGCAAAGATTAATCACTTGTCACAATCACTTGTCACAATCACATCAGTAGCCAAAGTGCAATGTAGAAATGTTAGGTATGCTATTTAAGGTAAGCCATTACAACAACCTTGTCACTAATAATTGCTGTACTTGGTGACAAGAGGGAGGGGTGGGGGGGTAGGCTGTTAAGCTAGCGTAACAGCCTACAGACAATGGGGGACTGCTCACATGCTTAGTTGACTGGGGTATGGCAATTGTAGCAATAATGATCAGGCAAGCGTTTATAAGCCACACTGGGGGTTGAGCAGATGATTCAGTCAGAGCTGATCAAGGCTGTAGCAGAGTGTTTCAGACAGGAGTCCAGCAATGGAGATGCCCTGGAAGGTAAGTGAATGGGTCCAGGTATGGCTGGTTGAGCTGCTGGTTTGACAGGGAGGCAGGAGGAAGACAAGGAAGAAGGGAGGTCACAGAAATAGCAGCAGAACAACCAATTGCTGCCAACAAATCAGCAACAAACAGGCAGAATATTCACAACAACCTGAGTTAAGTCTTTGCTCTGGATGAGAGTGTGGGCTGGAACTATTTCTTCATTAAAGGAAGTGAAGATTTGTGTCAGGTGATTCAGCCTCCTGTGCAGGCGTTCTCACTCCTGTAATTAGGTAACACAGCAGCAAGCCACAATCATACCCAATAACAGAGTAAGACAGAGAGAGAGGTGCTAACCAAGCAGGGAGGCAGAAGCAGAGGACCTGACAATTGCATTGTCTTACTATGTGTGTCCAGAGAGGGAAACCAGGCATTTCGGGAGGCCATGGCCACACTGGAGAACCATCCACGTGTCAGGGGACTGTCCTTTACTTCTTTCCTCATCCTTCCTTTCCAGAGGATCACAAGACTCAAGCTGCTTGTGCAAGTGAGTGAACCAACATGAGTTAATACTAATAGATATTGTACAATAAATTGCAAAGATTTAGTGGTATGTTTTGAAATATATTTTTTGTGTCATATTCGCAGTAATCAATGGTGGCATAGTGCCACTGTAAAAGCCTTCCACTGATTGCATTTGACTTTGTTTTTTTACACAGAACATCCTGAAAAAAGCTGAGGAAAACACTGACAGGGAAGCAAATGCCATCAAAGCACATCAGCAGCTGGAGCAGGTAAGCGCTATTCAAGAGTTGGAGAATGAGCAGGATAGTGGGGATCAGGGCAGGACACAAGAAGGGCAGTGAGCTGGAAATCAGAGCAACTGGAGTGCAAAGGAGGCAGCTGGTGATAGGAGCTCCAAAGGCAAAGATTGAGGTCCATGAACAGGCAAAATGCGGTTGTGCTACAAAAGAAGAAAACAAGCAAAAACCATGGCTGGGGAGCTAAGGCACATATAAAACACAAACTGGATGAGGACTGAATGTGGAACAAATGTATATACCAAGGCTAGTTGGGAAATATGCAGGTGACTGGAGCAGAATGGCAGTCTGAGAATATCTGGTGAGTCTATGGGGTAATCTGATTCACCGTATATAAGTTGTGGATATAAACCCTTAATCTTTTTAACTCGCTAGTCGTTTCTTCCTGGGACCTGCATGTTACCATTTTCTTTATGAAAGAAAACAACAACAACCTCTGACCCACACTGGAAATTTCAATTTTTCCAGAAGATGTGGATTGTGCAGTATTACAGCTATGTTATTATTATTATTATTTTTTGTGGCGGATCATCTATTTAAATCACAGTGTTCGTCTCTGTGCATGTAAATGTTCCACCACAACAATTCCATCCATCCACTATCCACTATTTTGAGGGAACACTGAAGCCGCATCCTTCACTTAGCCCTGCCCACAACAACTGTGATTGGTTTAATGAAATACTAACAAGCCAGAGAGGTTTTTCCTCTATAGTATAATGATAGCATAGTGCAGCTAAGCAGAGGCTAAATGAGACTGGTGTGGGATGATATAGGAAGCTGGAGTAAAACAATGACCACAGAACAAGGCTCAGATGTTCTCAAGGGATGACTTCAAAACATTCCTCCAGAGCAATCAAAGAAATCAGAGTCTAGCTGGAAAGTGCAAAGGGTTTAAAAAGAAATTGCTTTATTGGTTGTCATTTTAGGGCTGCAAGGTGGCACAGTTGGTTAGCACTGTTGCCTCGCAGCAAGAAGGTCGCTGGTTCACGTCCCGGTGGGGGCACCGGGATCTTTCTGCGTGGAGTTTGCATGTTCTCCCCGTGCAGCGTGGGTTCTCTGGCTTCCTCCCACAGTCCAAAAACATGTTGAGGTTAATTGGTGATTCTAAATTGTCCGTAGTTGTGAATGTGAGTGTGCTTGGTTGTCTGTCTCTGGGTGTGGCCCTGCCATGGACTGGCGACCTGTCCAGGGTGTCCCCTGCCTTCGCCCTGAGTCGGCTGGGATAGACTCCAGCCCCCCCGCGACCCTAATGAGGATTAAGCGGTGTATAGATGATGGATGGATGGATGGTTGGTTATCATTTTTATTTCCATCTATTTGCAACATGAGTCTACCATCTAAAATTCACTGGACCAATTGCCAAAATTTGGTGAAAGCAGGTATGCTACCTACATGCATAAAGATAAGAACAACACAAAGATGCATTAATACAAACAAACTAAATATGTTTGTGGCAGTATCACATCTACTAGAATCTCAAATAAGCATTTGTTATGTTTGTACTTCTTTTTTTTTTTTTTGGAAGTTTCACATGATTTCTTTCCAAGATTCTGGTTGTGATGGACTATGTTGTGGTGGACAATGTGGATTGTATATTGTACACATTCTACAACAATAAGTTAACAGATTATGAGATAAATATAACAATATTGTATAATATTTCAATGTTATGGACTCATGGCTCTTAATTGTGTCTTTGTCAGATTGTGAAAGAGTGCAACGAGGGGGTACGGAAAATGAGCCGCACTGAGGAGCTTATCAGCATTGAGAAAACATTGGAGTTTAAATCCAAGGTAAATCAAGTTTTACTGACTTCCATTTCAACTGCATTGAGCACTGCAGATTTTGGGGTTTTGTGTCTGTAGTATTTTTATACAAACATTTTTTGAACAGCTGTAGCTAAGGAAGGAGAGCTGGTTGTCCAGTAATTATTTGGCTTTCACATAAAATCCAAGCTCCTCCTGGCCATGTGTCCATGAAAAAGACACAGAACCCCAGGTGGATGCCAATACGACACCCATTTTTTTTCATGTTGTACATTCCACGACACAGTGAAACATAACTGAGAGGATTTCCAATGCCAAGCAGGGGGTTCCCGATACACTGGTATTAACAAAAAACCATAATACTTTTCAAATCAAACAGTGATGTAATAAATCACTTATGGGAATATTGTAAATAATCAAATGCCAGTAATTATCTGGCTGACACTCAACAGAAGAACAACAACAGTACACTTGTGGTTACAGGCTTTCTCTCCACCTTCCTGCACATGTATTTTGAATGTAATTTATTTTCCAAAAAAGAGACAACATACAATAGACAAAGTTGAAGATTATTTATTTAAAATTCTGGTAAATCTGGTATTGTAGCAGCCCTTGTGTCAAGATTCTCCCTCATTTAAAGTATTGTTGAGTGACTGTTGTACTAGCTTGAACATTTGTTATGTTGTGCTGTTATTAAGAAAGCAAGCTTGAATCTCTTTATATTAAATGTGATCTGAAAATACCACAAATGGCAATGACAAGAAAACAAGAGGCAACTAACGAAGTTTTTGTGCTTGTGCAAATTAATTCAAGTCTGACTAATGCTAATGGTCTGTTGCAAGCTCAGAGGAAGCAGGAAACTCTGCTTAGCAACAAAAATAACTAGGATTATAAATTCAATTCAATTCAATTCAATTCAATTTTATTTGTATAGCGCATATTTACAACAACAAGTCATCTCATAGCGCTTCACAAAGGCAGAAACAGAAACACCCAACAATCCAAAACATCTGGATTCCCTATAAGCTTCAGCAGTCCGCAAGACTGCTCATAAAAGATGGACGTAGTGACCGTGACATCTCCCATTGGTTTGTGTACTACCATTCATCATTCAAGCTTGATATTTGGCCGTCACCGTTTTGGTGTTTTGAAAGCGGACAAACACCCACACAGTGGTGACCTGTAAGTCACAAGATAGCCACATCCTAAAGCATATCCTCCTTTATTGTCTATTTTACTCTAAAGGGAGCCATCATTTACAAAAAGAACTCATGCTGGATTGACAGAAACTTGAAACTAGTAACTGGGACCATAAACCTATTAGGAAATTGTTTTCTGGGGTAACAGAGCAAGGTAGAAGTATGCTAATTTTTTCACAGACAGCTTTACAATCTGACACCACCAAGAGTAGTTGCCTCTTGCTGGTTGTTTCAAAGAATGCAGGTTTAAAGCACTTTTAAGTTCACTTTTTAGGCCTGGAGACTACGTTCATCTTTTATATGTGTAATATAAATAATTTCTTATTGGGATTCTGTCTATTTCGACTCAACTGGCTTGTATTTTGAAGTGCCCTCCCAAAGGTTTATTACTATGTTACGTTTGTCTCAAAAATAAGTGGGAGGTGTTGTCCTCTCAAATGATTAATGTTAAAACCAACGCTGTAGGTTCTGTGCACCTACAAATGGTTACAGAAGTTACAAATATGCAAATATCAATGGTCTGTACATCCTATTTACAGTATTGTCTTAAATGACCATAGATGAAGGATCACTATAAAATACAGTTGTTTTTAAATTTTAAAACAAACACCCCTTTATTTGACCTCTGTTAATCCCTGTAGTCTGTGCCCATCATTTCCCATTCCCGCTGGTTGCTTAAGAAGGGTGAAGTGCAGCTGATGGCTGGGCCTAAGAGTACTAGGACCATGCGAAGTCGGAAGCTCTACCAGCCAGTCTACTTGTTTCTTTTTAACAATCTGTTGCTGGTCACCAAGCGCAGGTAAGCACTTAATGAGGTAGTCTCACTGTAAAGTCCTACAAATGCCTTTTTTTCTCTTTACACTCGCTTGCCACTTTATTAGATACCTTTATGTAAAACTTACCCAGTCTAATCCAATAGTTTTACAGCAACCAACCCTTTATGAAAATGTTCATCTCCAGTTTTTGCCGGCAGAAGTTGTCTTTTACATAGACGATTCACTTACTTTTTCACTAAAATCCTGTTTTTGCTTGTTTGGGTTTAGCTTGATATGGGATATTAAATGACTGGATATTAATACTTTGATCCAACAGCAGGCTATGTCTTTGCTAAACATCTAGAGGGAGCTTTAGAGCAAGTGCCTACAATAATTCTTGTAACTGACTAATTCCTTCTGACAGTACCATGAAATCTACTTCTGAAAAAGTGAAATTTTGGGTAGTGAAGGAAACTAATAAAGATTGCACTGTGTGATTTCACAGAAGCTGAGGCACTGAATACAATTTTGCATTAAAACAGTGCTTAGTTCATTTGTCCGTTTGTTCATGTTGAAAATTACCATATCATTTTTGTATACATAAAATGTAAAAAAAATTGTCATGGTTCTTGAAATATCTTTTTTTTTTTTAGTTTTTGTTTCATTTTTGTCAATACAAATATGTTGTCATTAAATGTTTTAGGTTAAAATTTTGGTGGATGAAATTCACTGATTGGAGTGTGTACTAGTACATCTCAAATCATTAGAATATTGTGAGAAAGTTAAATATCTTCTATCAGTTATTTGAGAAAGTGAACATTTTATATGTTCTAGTCTCATTGTACTTAAAGTGAAACATTTCAAGCATTTTTCTATTTTCATTTTGATAATTATGGCCTACAGCTCAAAAAATTAAGAAAACCTATCTCAAAATATCAGAATATTTTATTTTCAATTTGAATATTTTACTTTCAATATTTTATTTTCAAATAGTAAAAAATACCATGTACTGTATCTCTCGGTCTAGTCCAGTACATGCAACCACAATCATGGGGAAGACTACAGACTTGAAAGTTGTCCAGAAGATGATCATCGACACCATCGACAAGGACAGTAGGCCACAGAAGATCATTGCTGAAAAGGCTGGCTGTTGGCAGAGTGCTCTATTGAAGCATATTAAAGCAAAGTTGAATGTAAGGGAAAAGTGTGGGAGGAAAAGGTGCACAAGCAACAGGGATGAGTGCAGCCTTGACAGGCTTATCAAGAAAGGTCGATTCAGATTTTTACATTTCATTTGGAAATCAAGGGCCTGGGGTCTGGAGGAAGAGCAGAGAGAGGAAGAGGAAAGTTTCTGCAGTGTGCAATGATTTAGGGTGCAATGTCATCTGTTGATGTTGGTCCACTGAATTTTATTAAGTTCAAAGTCAGCTAAGTCGCCTGACCTGAACCCCACAGAACCCCATATGGGATATTGTCAAGAGGAAGATGCAAAACACCCGACACAAAAATACAGATGAGCTGAAGACCACTATTAAGACAACCTGAGCTTCAATAATACCTTAGCAGTACCACTGGCTGATTCCCTCCATGCTACACTGCATTGATGCAGTGGTAAAGGACCCTATTCAAGTATTGCATGTCTAAATAAACATGCTTTCCAGAAGTTGGACATTTCTGTATTGCAAATTAGTTTTGGATTGATCTTAAGAAATATTCTAATAACTTGAGATACTGGATTTCTGATTTTCATGAGCTATAAACAGTATATAATAGTCAAAATTAAAACAAAAAAGGCTCAAAGTGTTTCACTTTACATGTAATAAATATAGAATATATGAACGTTTACCTATTGAGTTTACCTTTTTGGCATTCTAAGTTGTTTTTGCAACTAGCTGCATCACAGAATACATCCTCAAATGTACATATAATTTAATCAATACCTCTGGAAAACAGTTTCAACAAAAACTGAAGGTTATCTTTGTATAGGAAGCATTACTGTAGTACTGGTGTTCAGACTACTTTTCATTAAAAAAAAAAAAAAAAAAAAAAATCATCTGATTGTTGCACTGAAAGCAGGGAATGTTAATTCACTCAACTTCTTCTCAGTGGGGACAAGTTCCAGGTTCTTGACTCATGCACCCGGGCTATGTTGAGGACTGAAGATCTTGAAGACCAGGGCCAGCTGCTGGCCAATGTCTTTAATCTCAAGCTGCTGGAGAACCAAGAGGAGCGTCCAGTTAGCTACATGCTCAAGACTTCCAGTATGTGAGTATCTGAAGCAGAACAGCTTACAGTGTCAAAAAAAAGTATTCACTCCCCTTGGAAGTTTTCCACTTTTACTGAATTTCAATGTTGAACTGACAGAGCTCTAGCACTTTTGCTTAAGCTCTGTCAGGTTGCAGGGACTGTGAGTGAACAAACCTTTTCTAGTCTAGCCACAAATTCTTAACTGAATTGAGGTCTGGGCTGTGACTTGGCCACTCCAGAACATTCACCTTGTTGTCTTAAAACAATTTCTGTGTAGCTGTGGCTGTATGTTCTAGGTCATTTTCTTGCCTGAAAACAAATCTTCCCCCAAGTCACAATTCTCTTGGGGATCGCATTCGGTTGTCCTCCAGTGTTTCCCAATTCTTGCTCTTCTCACTTTACCCTTTACCTTTACCACTGCCTCATAAAGCTTTGACAAATGAAAAACAAGCAATGCTTGTTGTCTGCACAGTCTCTCTCATGGCAGTTCCTAATGCTTGTAGCTCTTTTTGAGGAGTCTAGGTGTCTTGGTGGCCTCCTCTTGTGGCATGTGTCATTTTTTTGTAGGCGTAGAGTTGTACATATACCTGAAATCTATCTATCCCACACTTGGCCTACCAACCTTTTTCCATGATAGAGCTATAACTCTTTTGGCCACTAAAAGGCTTATCTGTAGATTTGTTGTCTCCTTCTAATGCTAAAGTTAGCTGGGTACAAGCCTGGTGAGAAAAACTTTGGGTGTAGTGATATTTGTGTAAACAGAATGTCCTGAACCATAACAGGACACTCTCTCATTGCTGACCAGAACTGTTATATTTCAGTAAACTGCCAGAAACAGTGGTAAAGTATATCTTTTTCCTTTCGACATTTAATACCATTTTAGTATCAGGGAACGTGCTATTGTATTTATTCAGTTTTTCAGGAGTTATAAAGGTTCACCTTAACCACATTTGCTGCATTAATTTAAGACATGCGTAATAGTTTGTGATTGTTCTTTGGTGCATGGCCTTTCCATCACCATTACTTTTTTTTCTTTTTTTAAAAATTGATAACATTTCAACACAGATTTCAAAATATTCATTTGACCTTCGTGAATGAATAATTTCCCCACATTGGACTACATATTGAAAGTAAGGCAGTCTCCCCAAAGTGTTTTTGATTTGGTGCAATACACTGATCATGTTTCTGGGAATGGGGGTTTTCACATTCTATTTAAGCTTTTTAACATTAGCTGATTACAAGTAAGTGCGAAGCGATAAGCTTCCATGGGGTGCATCTTCATCTGTAAAAACAGAACATTAGTATTCTTGAGTATGTTTTCCAATAGTACCAAAGTGGATTCAGACATGTGAGTCCTCCTCTATCATATGGTAGATATAATAATAAAAGTTTTAACCTGGGGCATCTGCTGTTCCATAGGAGTTTGTTGAAAAGTCTCTTTAGATGAGTGAATAATTACTTGGTGGCAGCAATGGGAAATTTTGAAGGAGAATCAGCAGCTTAGGAAGTATATAAATCTTAAGAGTATTTATTTTCCGTATTAACAATATTGGTGTAAAAGCCCATCTGTCTAATGAGTTTAAGATTAAATACACCACTAGTCATAGTTGTTTTCTACAATATTGTCAGGACATGGTACAATTTGAATACCAGGGTATGTGAAACAATTGACCTCCTTAAATTGAGTGGCATGTCCAGGTGGTATTTCCTTCCTGCGTGACTGAGTAGCATAATTGAGGTTTTTAATTTTTTATCTTATAGCTTGAGACCTTTCCAAATATCTTAATTTGATACAGTAGGCTGGGATAAATGTTACTATATGTTTGAGAAAAACAGTCATATCATCTGCATATAAAGCCAGACTTGTGCTCCTGCTGTCCTATGGAGATCACTGAAATATTATATTGGGTCCTCACTGTGATTACTTATGCCTCAATTGCCTGAATAACAGTAAAGACATTTACATAAATTGTTTCCTCGACCAAAGTGTGTGATAATTTCAAATAGGTAAGGCCTTTCTATTTTGTCAAAGGCCTTTTCAGCAGCCAGGGACTGTAAGGCAGTGTCTGGGGCCGCCTTATTCATGTTATGGAAGCCATACCTGCAATGAATAAAGCCATTCTGGTCAGTTATCTTTGGTAATATTCCTTCAACTCTTCCAGCTACAATCTTGCACAGAACTTTTACATCTGGATTTAAGAGACACAGGTTCTCACTTTTATTATTAAGTGTACCAACTTTTGGGAACAAGGTAATCATTGCTCCTCTCAAGGAGCCTGGTTGGATTTCATGATTAAAGGATTCTTTAAACATTTGCACAGGAGTAGTGCCGATGGAGGCTATTGGCCAATGGCAGGATCTCTGACTGGGTGCTCAGCGATGCAAAATTTGACAGTTTGCTATTGTGACATTGGTTTGCTTTTGTTTGTGCTGGGGGCATTCCTTAGAATTTCTTTAATGGAGCTGTGTATGCTCCAGTCTCAATACGTTTTTAGAAAGAATTTTGCTGTCAGAGTAGTGGAGCAGGTTATCAGGCATCTATTCAGCATACTGCCATACCCATCAATGTTAAGCTTGATGTGAAAAGTTTCCAACTGTGAAGAGCAGTGAACTAGTAAAGTTCATCCATTATCTATACACCGCTTAATCCTCACTAGGGTCGCGGGGGGGCTGGAGCTTATCCTAGTTGACTCAGGGTGAAGGCAGGGGACACCCTGGACAGGTTGCCAGTCGATTACAGGGCTACACTTAGAGACAAACAACCAAGCACACTCACATTCACACCTACGGACAATTTAGAATCACCAATTCACCTCAACATGTTTTTGGACTGTGTGGGAGGAACCTGGAGAACTCATGCTGCACGGGGAGAACATGCAAACTCCACGCAGAAAGATCCCGGATGTCCTCACCGGGACGCAAACCGGCGACCTTCTTGCTGCAAGGCAACGGGGCTAACCACCAAGCCACCTTGCAGCCTGAACTAGTAAAGTGCAAAAAAATGAACTAATGTAAATAAATAGAAACAAACCAATTATTTTAGAACTGTGAATAATTAGGGAGTGTGGTATTATTGAAACTTAATTGTTGGTTTTGTTCTGACTCTTAAAATGTTTCAGTATTTAACTGTGGATTTGTTATTGGACACAAACAGCTTGGAAACACCTTGGACACAAGTTATCTTTAATTAGTTACTAACCACTTACATCCTGTGGGCAGGAGTGATAAGCTTCGATGGATGTGTACATTGACTCCTAATCGACGCACACGCTTTATGTCTACCAGTGCCCACCAACCAGGTGAGACAGAAGATATCACACAATGAGAGAAGTCCTTCGTTCAGTACATATGAACTCACTCTATCTTTGACATTTACCAGACTCTCCACAGGTGCAGTGTATTCAGTCATACTCATCTCAGGAGCCAGATGAACTCTCCACTGAGATGGCCGATGTTTTGAACCTCCTTGAGAGAACAGATGATGGTGTGTAGATGCAAAAATCTACTGGTACTTGTGAAAAAAAATGCAATTGCAATTTGTTTTTGAAGAATTTTGTGCATTGTTTTCAGTTCTCTTTCCATCCTGTCCTGTCCAAACCTTTTTTTGCCTGCTGTATTTTAGGCTGGATGATGGGTGAAAGACTTCATGACGGCGAAAGGGGCTGGTTCCCTTGTCGAATAGTAGAGGAGATCCAGAGCAAGGAGGTCCGAGCTCAGAACCTGAGAGAGGCCTTTCGGATCCAACAGGCGCATGAAAGTGGAGTGGGCCAAACTGGAGCCAGGAGTGGTATAAGGGCGGGAAGACGCACCCCAAAAGCCTCCAGCTTCTCCACTCCTTGGACTGGTCAAATGGGGGACAGCAGTGAAGTAAATCAGTGAATCAGTCACAAATATGAATGTCACTACTGAGAGCCATATGCACTAAGAGAAAAAAAAAAATCAGGATACATGTCACTTCATTCCTACACAATGAAACTTGTCCCTTTGATCTTTACAGCAGTGGAATGTTTTAGAAATCTCCAGTTTTGGTCTCAGTGATCAGGGAGAAGTTATCAAAGCGCTTCAGTCAATAACCTTGTGCAAGCAATCCTGCATGTCCCATAAATGTGTGGTGAAGGTGTTTTGAGGCCCACATACTGTGGTGTGTAATGCATGGACTGTTTGGAGCTGCAAAACCCCTTAAATCCCTCAGCTGCATGGGCAGGTTTTAAAACTTGTTGCTTTAATTTAATTGTAAAATGCCTTTAAACACTGAATTACACACAGAGCCACATCATAAACATGCTAATCTTTTAGGGCTATAAGACAACAATGCAGCCTTGAAAGATCAATGTGCTGTAGCTTAAGGAAACACATGCAAAAACATAATCCATATGGCAACACATGCACCCCAAATAGAAAATATTCTGCTAAGAAATCAATCAAACACAAGAATAATCTGACAACTGGAAAAACAAACAAACAAAAAAAAAACCCCACATCAAGCTACAGAAAATACAACCACCTACACACAGCTCAACTAAATACAGAAATCAGATTCAAATACAGACATGACCTGCAAATACAAACTGGTACGAGATCAGGAATCAGTAAAAGGTTAACACTTGGTTAAAATTAGGTATCAACAATAACATCAAAATCATGCAATCACAATGTTAAAACTAAAACAAAACAAAACTGACTAAAACACTGGTTAGTTCTTGAGGTTCAAAGAAAGAACTTCACAAGCCATGCACCGTAGCATGCCCTAGGTGTGCTCAAAATGTTTAGCACTTTTTATCATCCCATGAAACGTTTTCTGTTTTCAAAATCAGTCCCTTGCAACTCTGGCTGTGTACTTTGTTTTGGCAGTGCATTTCTGTATTTGGTTGTATTTTTTCCCTTTGCAGCATATATAATTTAGTGCTGCACATATGCTGTCAAGTTGATAAAAATGTTTTCTTCTATTGCAGTGCATTGAGCTTTTATGGCCACCTTAACAGTGTCTAATAAAATAAATACATAAAAGTAAAAATTAAAATCACCAATGACTATGTTTCTGGATGTTCAGTAAAAGTCCATTTATTTCTATACACAGCTTAATCCTCAGTAGGGTTAGTTAATCTAAGCATGTCTGTAGACTGTGGGAAGCACTCAGTAAGAGTTCAGGATAAGTGAATCAGTTTAGGTGATACTTCACCCAAAATGTATCCTTTGAGTACAAAGGACTCAGAGAAAGATTTGTTAATATTTAGCGAGTTAGCACATTCAGATAGGTAGGATGTAGCAGATTTACTGGCCCTCTCACTCACACTGCCCTCTTAACCCCAATCTTGCAAACCCCCTCTCTCCTCCCTTGTCCTGTGCAGGAGCTCAAATGTGTATGGGAGGTACTGGAACAGTGTTTTGCAGAACAGCGTGAGGTCGCTTTGTTTTACATTTATAGAACCAGGACCTGTGTACAAACACTAGATTTTCTTCAGTGCCAAAACAGAACAGACAGCTTGCGGTCCATGAGACTATATTCAAGTGCAATATTTTCTAAGGGCCAACCCACTGGGTTGGTGGAGAGACACAGAGACTTCATAGATCTGCACATTCCAAAGAAAGCATTCCATGGAGAACTTCTAAATATAGAGCTTCTACACACAGTGATGAATTTTTAGGGATTATATTTATTACAGAAGAGGGATTTCAAAAACATCTTCAAATTTTGGTTCCTCGGCAACCTTATCCTCTAACTCTTTCTCATTTTGCCTCTCAAATTAATTAAAGCCAGTGTTGCTCTCTGCTGTGTGCTGCATTTTCCTGGAAATTAGATTTGCTGGTCAAGCACAAGCATATGTCACATTAAATAGGCACAAGTCACACTGTTTTCCAGTAATCATTGTATTTTTCAGAGTAAAAAACAAAACAATGCCCACAATACCATTGTAATGGTATTGTAACATGTACTTAACTTAAATAGCAGATTAATAACTATGACAGGCTGATAAGACCTACCTTATTTTATTGAGGTTTTGACTTGCACTAGTGTTGGCATAATTTATTTATAAAGGGGAGTGGTCTGCCGCATCTTGATGGAACAGCAACAGGTCCTCTTAGACCACAAGCTTCAGTGTTGTGCTCAGTGAACGACCTGTATTTGTCAGGGCTGCCACATTACAGATAGTGCTAGTTAAATACTTCATTGTCTGGTCTTAACCAAACTCTTAATGTGTGCAAGGATTCGGATTGAGGAGTGATATGTAAGCACTAACAAGAAAGCAACCAGCCCGCTATGATTTGAATTTTATGTACCATGAAGCTTCCAAACACACAGTTTGGCATATGGACTGTAGTTTGGCATGCACAGGAAGCGTCAGCAGGTCTGTACAAGAGGCATTGTCTCCGTCAGTCAGCTAGATATTTGTCATTTATTATTATATTTGATATGAATCATTATTTTTGGGTTAGGTTAATAAACAGGTACAGACTGAAACTCATAACTCAGGGCTGAGGGTCGTCATTCATTACCATTCTGTTTAAACATAAAATTAATTTGTATATTCAAGAGTCCATATCTGTGCTCTCGCTCTCTGTCTCTGCTGGTGTCTGCCCTTAGAGTGTGTCATAATCTGTCTAAGCACATGTAGGCTGTGGGTATAAGGCGGCCATTTGCTACTCATTTCATGCAGCTTTGTATGTGTTACCATTTTCAAAATCGTATGGTAAAGCAGCTTTGCTTGTTTTTTTCTTTCTGTGGATTATCCATTTCAATTAGCGTACCCATCTCCCTGCTTGTAAATGTTTTCATCAAAACCATTCCACTTGTCTCTATTCTTGAAGGAAAACCGCAGCTGCATCTTTCGCTTAGCCCTGCCCAAGGCGATCGAGATTGGTTTAAAGAAATACAATAAAGCCAGTATTAATTTGCTCAAAAGAAGACTGATAATTATGTGCAGTCAGTACTATCATCACGAGAGAATGGGCTGGCTAAGTGAGACTATTCAGTGTCTGACTCTCCGGATGTTGACTGCAGCCATTAACGTACCGTGGCTGAGCATTTTACATGGCTTTCTCCTCCCATTGCTCAATCTGTTACTGTTCTTAAAATCGCCCTCACTGAGGGAGACGACAATGTGAACCTTTGGGCAGCAAGCTACAGGGTAATAATCCATCCATCTATAATCTATATATCGCATAATTCTCACCAGGGTTGCGGGGGGAGGGGGGTTACACTTCGAGACAGACAACCAAGCACACTGACAGTCACACCTACGGATAATTTAAAATTACCTTATTAACCTCAGCATGATTCTGGACTGTGGGAGGAAGCCGGAGAGCCTGGAGGGAACCTACACTGCAACTTCTAGCTGCGAGGCAATGGTGCTAACCACTGAGCCACCTTGCAGCCAGGGTAAAAATAAGAAATTAAATCAAAAATTTGAAAGATATCATTGGATGTTCAGGTGTTTTGTATTTTGTAGACAGTAGCTTAGCTATGTTGTATGGAAATGCTTCTTCTGTTTTAAGAAGTACTACAACAGGCAATTGTCCAATGACTGTTCAGCATAATGAATCCCCCAACAGTCTCCCTTGATCATCTTTTTTCGACCCAGCATAAACTCAAGCTGCAGCCCCTGTTTTCTGCCAAGGAACACACTACATTGCACACATTTTGTGTTAATATCACTTTAAAGTTATTAAACATACAAATACACATACAAACAAGGGATGAAACCTGTAACAGCAACTGAGTAGTAAAAAAAAAAAGTCCTATATGTTGTACCTGTATAGAAAATAATGCTATGAAGAACTATTGATCAGCATGATTGTGAAACCTGTGTCAATAAATACACTATGTGTACAGGAATGCAAACATTTGATGTTGGAAGTAACAGTTGTAAAATCGTTAATTAATTTTGTAAGATGTACATTATTGTTAATAAAACAACTTTAATCAGAGATGTGCCTGACTTGTTGATTTAGATTATGAATTGTTAGAAAGAATCTGTCAGATTTACAGCAAAATGACACGTCTCCAATGGCCCTTGCAAAACACACATATGGAATAATACAGCATACGAGCTGGCCTTTGGAAAAACACTCATTTACTCAAAAAGAATGCAAAAGAAAATTTTCTGTCATGTGCATCAACCAGTGCTCTGTCTATTCCAGTGCAGCAAGATTGATTTTCAAAAACCAAGGGCACATTTTAAAGTCTGATCCAGCCTTAAAAGACTTGCTTAAGATGAGCCAGACCTACAAAGGTTCGATAACTGGCGACCGTTCAATGATGTTGGTTGCATTCCTCTTTGGCTTGATCCCCACTTGCTCTGACTCTGTAACATATGCAATAATAATGTTGTGACATCAAGACAGCTGCAGTTTCTTGAGACAGACAATGCAGTTGCTCTTGACTAGCTGTATGGCCTCAGGGCATGATGGGAAACGTCTGGCTCTGATAAAACAGCTGATTGATTTAGATGTTGACTCAACAATAGGATGCTTAATAGAAACTTTTTATTTTAATTGATTTACAGAGACCTTAATTTTAATTTGTCTCATTTGGGAGTTTTATTCAACAAACTAAAATGCAGACACTGCCAACAGGAGTAAAATGAACAAAAGGCTAAATATAATCTAACTTGTTTTCAAAAAAATCAAACGACTATCCAAAAAACCAAAAATACAGGAAGCAGGCAAAAGTAACTACAGGAGCAGGAAGTGAATGAAGGCAAACATGCAAAAGACTTTCAAGCTGGGCACACAGTAAACATGGAAGATCGCACAGAAAAAATGTGCTGGGACACTGACAAGATGATATAAGAGAAACTGGTGTGATTTAAACCCAAGGGAACTCTTCGCACATCTATTACGTTAGGCAAGTGCGTAGGAGAGGGACAAACACATCCAACAGAATCAAACCAGACTCCCACTGTTGTTACTCAGTCTGTCTGCTAAGGGCCAGTGATGATCAGGCAGCTGTCAAACATGTAGTCAGAAAAATCACTTCTTCATCAAATATTGGAGTCTTCAAAAAAGGTTTTCAAGAAAAAAGTCTTTGAACAGTTTTCGGAATCTGATGTGAACAATGTTTATTCAATACCAGAAGCTGTACGAACAAACATGAGCAGAATCTCAAGATTTTAACTGACTAAATATCTTTGTGCAAGTTCTTGCATACTTCTGAAACATCTCCGAATTGTCCCCCTTTTTCTGGAAAACCACAGCCCATTCTTTTTAGAAGACCAATCAAGACACATCTGCCATCATTATCTTTGAGTTTACTCATATTTGAGGGCGTAGAATCTAATCGTGGCAAGTTTTCAACTCCCTCCTTTCTATAAAAACAACACTTTTTTCCTAAAAATATTTCATTGAATATTTTTAAACAAAAAACAAACCAGAGAGAGAAAATCCCAACTGACAGCATACAATAAATCAATTCAAAAAACTAATGCCGTAAGTAATCACTAAATTTCCAAATACAAGTATCAAACTTATTCAAACATCTGTGTAACTATACTTACAATTTCATACAGTCCTCTACTTTGGACAATCAGTGTCCAAGACAACATATTCACCAATCCTGGGTAATCCACCCCTATCAAACCCACCAATCTCCATCCTGCACCCAGCAACCTCTGGAGCCTGGAGAAGCACTTTAATAGCACTGAAGGAGAAACCGACAAAGGACCGGGAGGACTACGCATGGAGTAGTATGCACAATTTTATAAACTAGGGACTCTGGACAAAACATCAGGCACCACATTTTCTGAGCCTTTAATGTGGAGAATTTCCAAACTGTAGGACTGCAGAAGGAGAAACCAACACATCTGTCTGCGGTTCGGGCAATGCAGTGAGTTGAGGAAAGTTAAAGATCAAGGTCTGTGTAGACCACCAGAGGCACACCTGAGTCAACATAAACTTCAAAACGTTGCAAAGGCCAGATGAAACTGAAAGTCTTCTTCTCTCTAGTACTTCATCTGGTAAGAGTTAAACCTTCTGGAGAAGAAACTAACAGAATGCTCAACTCCATCTGTGCTAGTCTGGAGCAACAAAGCATACTGCATGCCAGATCACTGGCATCCATCTGCAGCTCTAACAGACGGGTCATACAAGGTGCCATGAGGACAGGAGGAGAACACAAGACAGCCTTTACATTCCCAAAAGCTTGGTGACAGGAAGCTGATGGTATATATCTTGCTTTAGCTCTAAGCAGATCTGTTAGAGGAGCTACCATGCTGAAGAAGTTCCTGCAGAATCCACAATATTAGCACACCACACCCAAGAAGCACATCAGCTCCTTCTTTGTGGTGGGAACTGGATACTTCACAATGCCAGCACTTTGGCCTGTACTGGCAGCACCTGTCCTTGTCCCCCTACCTTCCCGAGGTAAGTAACAGTGATAAACTCACACTTTGCGAGGTTAACAGTAAGTAATTATCATGTTATAGGAGACGTTGCCGGATTGGCTGCACTTCACCCACATCAATGTCATGTTCTATCAAATGTGTACAGGTTGGAACATTATTGAAAAGACACAAGTACTCACTGATAAGAGCAGACAGCTCAGTGCACCACTGTCACGGCTGCTCTCTAACAGCCAGAACTCCGCAGCTCAAACACAACTGAAATGATCACCCTGTAACTGCCTCACCAGAACCTGTCATGCTATCCATCTCCAGCTCTGCTTAGTTGACAGCCTTCTCTTCCCCCTCCTTTCCCTTTCCCTCATGTGGGTGTGAGTGTGTGTGTGT